AACACATTTCATTAACGAAAAGTTTTACATTTATTTATACCATATTTCAAAAAACTTTTTCTAATATACTCAATGATTTCTGGATATTATGCTACACTTACACTCAATTATTTATTGAGACTAAGAGAAACATTGATAACAATCAGACAAATTGCAATAAAAATAAATTCATTGTAATTTGATCGTATGAATGGCTTCCTTCCATTAACTATTATTTATACAAGAAAACAACCATACAAATAAAATAACAGATATAAATTTATTATAGTTCTTTCAATACAATACATTTAGTAATTTTTGAAAGTGAAACAGACAAAATATTAAAATCTAATCATTATAGAAAAATTGAATTAAAATCCAGAGAAATATATATGTACCCGAAATTTTCTAAGTGGTACAAAAGCATGAGTATTGTATTTAATTATAAAAATCTATCTTGAATTTACATAGAGAAATATTGCTTAAAGTCTGGAACAAAACTATAGACAAATGATTTTTTTCAAGTGATCCTTCCGTGAACTTCTCAACATGTTCGACTTATATTAGTTATTAAAATATGCTTTTTGTCATTTCCTTTTCTGACCGGATAATAATTAAGATAGTCTTGAAAAAATTGAGAGAGGTAATCGATGTTACTAATGACATATCTTTTATTTATATCTCAAGCAAAATTTTCAAGACCATTTTACATACGTAAGTATAAGTGCAAAAGTATTTAAATGCTAAAATAGTTCTTGTCATACTATCTTTATTATACACAATTTTCTATCATCAGTCAAAGAAATTTATTAATTAGTGCGTATTTATAATAAAAATCATCTACGAAATTCGTAGTTTTTTTCATGTAATAATTCTGATCGATTAATGTCTGAGAATTCGATTTTTTTCTCTTTGTATACTCTATTACTACGATCAAATAAACTATTCTTTACTACCGAAAAACAGCTGACATTTTCTCTTAGACGAAAGTGTCTAATTCTCTTTCTTTTTTTCTCGTCGGTCATCAATATGGCCGGCATCAATGGTCGAATAGGAAAAGAAATAAAGAGTTCATACATAGTCAAACTATTATCATCATTCGAGCCATTCTCCTATCGCGACCTATCCGTCGATTTCTCTATATATATCACAAACAAACAAAAACAACTAATCGTGCAAACATGTCGAATCATTCACACGAAGATCAACAACAAATAAAAATGCGTTCAGTTAATTTTCAAACCAATTTTTGTATTTCAAGTTCATGTAATTTAGCAAGTGAAGTTATTTGTCGTCATTGTTCACAACAATATTGTCAATTATGTTTTATGTGTCATCGAAAAAATATTCTTGATGATATGCATTCAATATCAGAACAAATGTCAACAAATCGTAATCAAGGTGTTGCTGAAGTTATATTATTTATTGATAAACAAGCTAAAGATGCACATGATCAAGCGAAAAAACTTGTTGATGATGCTATTGATCGTATTGTTAAAGCAAGTAAAAATATCTATACATATATTGAAAATCGTCGAC